GGGGGTGTTATAATACTAGTTGAGTCGTTGGAGCTAGTGGTAATGTCGGTCGAGACGTTGAACCGGTTGCTTTTGTTTTTTCTTCTCTAGAAGTAACTATTGGTGCTGGGGATTTTTTGTTGGGTTTTTTGTTGTTGTTTTTTTTGTTTTTGTCTTTTGTGATTTTGAGATAATAAATAATAGCAATTTAGAACGACAGTTTACGATTGTGTTCTGGTCAGTCTGTACTTTCACAACCTTGTCTTGTTCAGTCTGTCAATTACACCACCTTATCGTGTTCAGTTTGTATAGTACACTATCATATCTTTTTCAGTCTGTAAATTACACTACTTTATTTGTTCAGTCTGTAATCTACACTGCCTTATCATATTCAGTTTGTATTCTACACTAACTCACCTTGTTCATCCTGTAATTTACTCTTCCTTATCTTGTTCATCCTGTAATTTACACTACCTTATCTTGTTCATCCTGTAATTTACATTACCTCAGCTTGTTCAGTGTGCCAATGACACTACCTTATTGTGCTCAGTTTGTACTGTAGCTTACCGTATTATTTTGCTCCCAACAGCTGCGGAGCAGGGCGAGTGCTGTGGGATCCCGTGCTTCGAGAAGGACTTTTGTCAAAAAGCTTACAGCAAGGCATGTCCAGAGGCCCAGGTGGAGTGTGCTACAGGTGAGATGTGCTTTATGACAGGACGTGCGGGGCAAGTTTTTGCCTGGCGTACGTGCAAGACTCTTTAGTGTCCTCCCAGAAACCAATAAACACCAAAAAAACCCGATAAATAAACAACCGGTGTAACAAATTTAAAGCGGAACCGCCTTTCCTCCACTCAAAAAAGAACGAAAAAGAAGAAAAATATCCAAACAACTCCAACCACTGTCTTTAGGCTAAAAATACTAATTTCCAAAGGCTCTTTTTCTTATCTGTTTTAACTCTATACGTCTAAAGGCAATAATAACGAAATCAATACATTTAATTTTTCATTTGTCTGAAAAACAAACAAGTGTTACCAAGTCTTTTTCACAAGTAGATAGGACATTTTTTTATGGTTTCATTACTGAAGTGGAATCACCTTTAACTTAGCTGCTGCTATGCTGGACGTAGGTGTAACTGTTCCTGGTTTGAATTCTCAATATGGCGTTCTCCAACCACGGATTTTGGTGGAAATTTCTTCAAGAGTCACTTACACTTTGCGGCCATTTTCTCGCTAATCTTACCTCTGAAACCAGGCGACCCCATCTCCGTCAAGCGCCATTATCTTGAGTTGTACCCAAGATAAATGGATATTTAAAAAAATCAAAAGCAAGGCAAAAGGACAGGCTTTAAGATGATACCAATCGCTCCATATGTCCCAAAATTGACTTGGGCCCGATTCTACCGCGTTGTGGCCCATTTTTACATTAATAGTGTACATACGTTCTCTCTCTTTCTCTCTCTCTCTCTCTCTCTCTCTCTCTCTTTCTCTCTCTCTCTCTCTCTCTCTCTCTCTCACACACACACACACACTCAC